ACAGTATGGTGAGGGGCGTAAGATTTCCGTCTCACGCTTGAGGTATTTGGCCAATCACAACGCACTGGATAGCTGGTCAATCAGCACACCTCGCTTTTTTCAGACCGATGAGCTTTGTAAAAATCGACGCGTTTCAAAAAGGCGGGGCATAGAGGAGAAACAATAATGTACAGTATGTGGAAAATAATGTGTTTTTTTAACTTTAAACCGCATAAACACATTTCATTACACCAAATACACAAAATAATGTTCTTTTTAGCAGCATCATATGACCCCTTTAACATTTAATCCTTCAAATGTTCAGATATGTTTTGTGTCAAGTATACTTTGAAAAAATGACTGTAGTTTGATATGAAAATTCTCAACAGAATCTTTTTATATCAACATTTCTGATTTAATTCTTTCAAAACCAAATCATCTGAGTGTCAACAACTCTATATGTGATGAACTTTTAGGAGAGATCAAAGTTGATATTATAAACAGTAGAGGCAGCACAGTTCCTCAACCCCTATAAATTCAACTCTCTCCACCATTCAACCATGTCTCCACCGTGCTTTGACATGCTTTCCTTCTGACCTCAGATTCACTGAGTCACTTAAACATCAATTTGGCACTAGAGAAATTACATCAAAAATGTCTCTAGTCACATAAACCAATCAGCTGAAGCCACACCTGAGGTTCTCCAGCAACCACTTAAACACACAGAGAGGTGGACAGAAGCAGCTATGCTTGTATGACAGCACACACCACAAACACAAATCAGCCATGTTTATAGCATGTAGGCTTCGTGTGAGAGAGTGTGTATATTCAGTACATGTGGTCAAGTGTCCACTGCTGCTGTGAGGGCAAATAAACCAACCAATCTCTCTCTCTCTCTCTCTCACACACACCGCTAGGTCTCTCTCTCTCTCTCTCTCTCTCTCACTCTCTCACACACACACACACACACCGCTAGGGTTATCCAATCTGTCACACCAAGGCACAGAAGACAGCAAAAAGGGGGCGAAAAGAAGCACAAAGAGACAGAGTGAAACAAAGAATTTGTCACTGATGTCAAAAAGGCAAGTAGAGGAAAGGATAAAAGTATTTTTCATATCTAGGTAACTGGAACTGACTACAAACAGACGGCAAGATGAGGAGAAAATGTGTTTGTTCTAAAATCTCACATAGAAATTTACTTTCTCGACATTTAACAACTCTTGTCCCCATCCTCTTCTCTTTCTTTCTCACTTCTTCCTGGTTCTGGGCTTTTTACAATAAATTCATCGCTCTGAAGATTTTTCTTACTTTCCCTAATTGAGGAGTGTCAGAGAGGTTACAAAGATAAAAAAGGCAATCTCACTTCTGCTTCTGAGCTCACAGACAAACAGACTTCCTCCACAAACTGTAAGCATGACAGAGAGAAGAGAGAGAGGTGTTCAGTAGGAGGAGGGGATCCCCACTTGAGTCAACCACTACGAGAAAGCTGCTCCTGCTGGGAAAATACCTGTGTTGCTGTATATTTCTTGTGAATCAGAGTCTTGATAACAATCAAACTTTTGTTTTCTACCCGTTTATGCTCCTCGAGGAAATAGACGTACATGGTGTGTTTATTATAAGACGCGCCACACAGTTTTACCAAAACAATTACAAACACTTTCCTATTTAGTGGTTACTTGTGTAAGTTTATTCATTTAGTTATATATAATTACATATTATATATTTTTACATAAATATATCATACGTGTATTTATAATATGTAAACATTATGTAATTATAAAAATGTATACTATACGTGATAAATATAAATACATTTATTAAAATATAATTTGTATTGTGTGTATTTATATATATATATATATCGTACCCACTGTATATATATATATTAGATTAAATACATTAAATATATTTATAAATGTTAATTTATAACTAATAATGTTTAATTCAAAATGTCCAAGATTAGAAATGACTAAAAGATGGACAAAAATCTAATCTCATATCATAAACAAAAATCATTGCGAGTTGAGTTGTTAAATGTGGTTTTGAATAACTCTGATTGTGTGTGTGTGTGTGAGAGTGAGAGAGAGAAAGAGAGAGAGAGACAGTCAGTTTGGGGGGTAGAAGTTTTGAGTCCCTCTTTAGTTTGCAACCATGCATGCCAAGTCACTAAAAGAAACCGGCCCCCTTTTCTCTTTCTTCCTCAATCTCAGTCTCCTCTAAAATTCATTATCTTTCATTGGTGTGATGAAAGAGAATTACTGGGCTGAAAGAGGGGGACTCTGTCTTCAAACAGACCGCCACGCAGTGAGACAGAATGCACAGCGGTACTTTGAAACTCTATAGTCACACACATTTACACACACTGCCTTTCTCTCTTTAGCACGGAAATACAAACACACTCACACACACAGTCACAAAGCCTTTGCTCTTTACTGCGTAAACAAACACACAAACCCTCACTTCAGAGCAAAAAAAAAAAAAGAATAAAACTCAAGTTTTCTCTCAGGTTGCACAAAACAAATAACTTAAAATGTGGCTTTTTTCCTTCTCTTTTTTTGATTCAAGAAATGATCTTTTTAGACATGATACACTAAAACAGTATTTTTGGCCCTATCCTAATTAACAGAGATGGACTGAGCATATTCAGCCTCTTAGCATGAATGCTAATCACATACAAAGACTCACATTCCTTCACTCTCTGTTCAGCTGTCCATTCAATTAACCTTTGGAGCTTCCTAACTGCCCCCCTTATACACACATCAGAGTCGGAACACCCACTCCCCTCCCTTCCCATGGTACACACACCACAGGGTGCCTACTCCATTTTTCAGAAACAGTCTCCCCCTGTATGAAGTGAGCATACCCAAAGCTCCACAAGCTAATGGAAAAACCAGGGATGTAATTCCCTCTTCTTGTATATTTTGATTTTAATTTCGTAATTTTAGAAGCCCTGTCTAAATGTAATACTTTTGTCTCTTTTTTCAGTGTGCTAAATCATCTGTCGACTCTATAAATCAAGAATTATGAAGACAACACAAATGCATCACAGTCTGAGGAAAAACAACTACAGAAGTCATCTATTGCCTGTACTTAAAGGGAGAGTTCACCCAAAAATGAAAATGCTGTCAGTAATTACTCACCCTCATGTCGTTCCAAACCCGTAAGATCTTCGTTCATCTTCGGAACACAAATTAAGATGTTTTTGATGAAATCTGAGAGCTTTTTGACCCTGCATAGACAGCAGCGGAACTACCATGTTCAATGTCCAGAAATGTAGTAAGGACATCGTTAAAATAGTTCATGTGACATCAGTGGTTCAACCGCAATGTTATGAAGCTACGAGAATTACGCAAAAAAATGCGTCTGAAGAGGAATCCACATGTATGCACTGTGGTACTGTCGTGAATGCGCGTCGAAGTCTGACGTGGAAGAGAATAAATAAGTTATTTTTATTTTCTTTGCGCACAAAAAGTATTCTCGTAGCTTCATAAAATTACGGTTGAACCACTAATGTCACATGGACTATTTTAATGATGTCCTTACTACCTTTCTGGGCCTTGAACGTGTCAGTTGTGTTGTTGTCTATGCAGGGTCAGAAAGCTCTTGGATTTCATCAAAAATATCTTAATTTGTATTCCAAAGATGAACTAAGATCTTGCGGGTTTGGAACGACATGAGGCTGAGTATTTAAATGACAGAATTTTCATTTTTGGGTAAACTAACCCTTTTAAAGTAAGGTGTCAGTCTCATGTGGCTAAACACATCAAGTTAGACACAAAGAAACCACTAGTCCTGAAGGTAATGAAAATCATTAAGCTCATATCAAAAGTTTAGTTTTATACTAGCTGTCTGACTTGATGTTATTTGTGAAAATATGTTTTGCAATATATGACATTTTACACACAAATTTAACAAGCAAGAAACAGTACTCACATCTCTGCAGTGAGGCACAATACCACCAGCAGGCATCCCCCTTTGCATGCGCTGTGGGAGAAGATGCCCATGTCCTGTGGCTGAGGTGGGCACCATGGGTTGCATGCTAGCATTGCGGTATCCTCCCACAGCCAGAGGACCCAGCTTGGCCACAGAGGGATTGGGGTCAAAATGTCGTAACGGCTTGGTGTTGTTGAAAGAGTGTGGTTCTGGACCCATACCAGCTGTGGTGGTCTTGTTTAGTTGCAGCTGCGAGGGTTTTCCCTGTGCCTGCATTAGGAGCTTGAGGCTACTGGGTGGCTGGTTGGATGTGATGGCCTTGAACAGCTGACTAGACATTGCAGGTGCTTGATTATTTTGCGAGTTGAAAAGATGTCCTTGTGTGGGAGGTTGCGTTCCTGGTTGGCATTGCCCAGCTGGACTGGGGTGTTTATCTGGTCGGTAAGGAGGTGATGGTCGAGTGTTGTTTGATGTTGGGGCAACACCAGGAAGATAACTTGCCTGAGAACCTTGGATTGAAGTGCAGGAAACTCCTGGTGGGGCATTTCCAGACAGAATGCTGTTCTGGGGGCTGAAAGGGGGCTGAGCAATTGCTGGGCTGGCTAGCTTTTCTGGCCTGTAGGGTGGTGATGGTCCGGTGGATGGGGCTGGAGCCATGCTAGAGATTAGAGAACTCTGGGGGCTCTGAATATTTCCTGCTGGGCTGAAGGGCTGCTGATGAGGTGATGAGTTAGGCAGTTTATCCCCTGGTCGGTAAGGTGGAGAGGGACCAGCCCAAGAAGTACTCTGTTGGCCCAATCCAGACAACCCCGACTGTGCAG